ATTTTTTAATTTATATCTTTTATATCACTGTGTATCCCTCATAAAATTTCCACCACCAATTCATCTGTGAATCATCACCATAGTTCCTTGTGCTCTTTTCTCCCCTTTTTTGATACCTTCTCTTCCCTTGCAGATTGCTCTGATTTATGGTTGCCTGCTATTTTTTTTATTAGTGTTATCGTTACTTTTCTCCCTGACCCCTAATTTGGTTCCCCTATAGTCATCCTATAGGTGAAACCATCCAATATTTTTCTTTTTCTTTCTGGCTTATTTCACTAAGCATGATCCCTACTAGCTCAATCCACACTGTTGCAAATGACATGGGTTTATCTTTTTTGATTGCTGAATAGTATTCCACCGTGTATATAAAAGATTTATTTGGGCATTTGGGTTGTTTCCATATCTTACTTATTGTAAATGGGGCTGCAATAAACACAGGGTTTCAGGTATCTTTTTAAATTAGTGTTTTTGTGTCCTTTGGTTAGATCCCTAGGAGTGGAATTCTGGGTCATATGGTATTTTTAGTAGTTTGAGAAACCTCCACACAGCTTTCCATAGTGGTTGAACCAGTTTGTATCCCCACCAGCAGTGTAGGGGAGCTCCTTCAAAAGAACATTTTTAGAGACAAGAACAAATGGCTGTCAGCACAATTTTCAACATCCTCTTCTTCCTCTTGATATTGTCTTCCAGATGTTTTGAAGGAAATCTTGACCTTGAGCATTTGTTTTCCTATAGATTTTCTTTCTCTATTTTATCAGGGAAAGCTTTCTCATTTTCCCTCTTGAATGAATACTCAGTGGTCCAGAATTATTAATGAAGAGAATAAATGCCTGGGTGAGGCCCTCCCTGGTGGTGCAGTAAGTTAAAGCACAGCACTATTAAGCTATCACAGCCACTGTGCATGAGTTTGATCCCTGGCCAGGGGGGTGACCCACATGGTGTGGCAGACCTCTCCTGACCTGCCCACTGCAACCCTCAGCAATGTATACTTTGTCAATCTGCCTGTTCTGCTCTCCACTGTCTCTGGTCAGTACCTCTTAACCTCAGTACCTCTGACCTGAATCCCAGTTCTGTATGTATAAACAAATAAATCTTTTTTTAAAATAAAAATAAATGCTTGGGTGAGAATTAGTAAAGAAAAAATAATAGTAAAAGCCACGAAGGGGTTCCTTCAGGGACAAAATCTGGAGTCACAGTGGAAAGATAGATGAATACTTTGGAAGGGGTGTGATTCAGAGGAAATGCTAAGGTAGTGAATGGCCCCTTGTCCTTGTATTTTTCTGTGCTATTTGAGTACTTTTCTGTGTTTCATATCCTGTGGATTTGAGGGATTCATCCTTCAAACAAGTGGCAGAAAGATCTATCCTAAAAATAACTCTACACCATCTCTCTCCTGTTTCAAATGCTGGCACAATGAATGTATCTTATTTATGGCTCCACATTAGTCTAGTTATTATCTGGAACAAAGCATTATTAGTAGAGGAATGGCAAGACCATGACGAAGGGTGGGACATCAACTTTGACGCAATGACCAGTGGCAATACTCAAGCTGTCAGTGTTCACAGCTTGATCTTATATTTGATGGCAAATGCCAAGATCCATTTATGATTACAAAAAAGAAAGTATTTTCTTTGGAATTCTAACAGTCCACTGAAAACTGCATTATTGGATTAAGTAGGATTTTGAGAAAAATGCCACTGTGAATATATGTAATTGTAAAATTTTGAAAACTGATTGACCACCATGTTTTAGTGATGACAATGTTAAAATGCCAATTGATAATAATTTGAAAATCAAAATGCATAAGGAAAGGAAAACAAGATAAAGGAGGAAAAATTAAGAGAAGGAAGAAGAGAAAATATTGGAAAGTAGAGTGGGAATTGGAGATTTTAGAGAAAGGAAATTATTTTTTCATACTGGTCACATGAAAACAATAAAATCATATACTCCAGGCCTCTGACTCTCCTCTGGGTTTGAGATACACTCTTACTAATGAGTGCACTAGTACTCATCTCTCATCAAGGTGAGAAAGCATGTTAAAAACAATCCTGATCTGAAATACAATGCTCCATCCAGTGAACTTAAGGCAGAGTATCTGTTGTACTATATAACTGCTAAGCTTAAACCTGCTTATATCCTCTTGCACAATATCCCAATTCATTACACAACAGAACTAGAGGTCAGTTCTATAATAATCATTTTTCTGTCCAGTCAATTGAGGTTTTTACTAATTTATTTTTACATCTTATCCTGTCTTCCTCCTTGTCTTCTATCTAATATTCTTTGGTTGTTTTTCACTTTCTCCTCCTATCAGGGCCAGGGGGCCCCTGGCCTGCTGCCAAGCCCACAAGACACAGCATGTCAAACTTGACAAGCTCCAGGGAAAGACTTTGGCAACCGGGAAGAGGAAAGCCAGAGTGATGCTGGAGACCCAGATTCTCCCGGACACATGGAAATCAGCCTCACTGCTTTAGAGCTGCATCTGGGCTACTGAAGTCTCTCCACTTCAAGTCAAACCACGTGGCATCTTAGGGCATCTCAGAGCTTTATTCTCCCATCCAGATGACCTCTCCCTCCCCTGAGTCATGGCCCGCAGCACTGTCTTGTATTAACTCTCCACAACCTTTATAAAACTATCTGCCTGGCTTCTAAACCTTGTTGTTGTTGTTGAAGTTGTGAACTGACACATTGTCCCTCCTACAGGAACACTGCTGTGCTGCTCGCCCATGGCTCCATCTCTTCTCAAACAGCCTTCCCCACCACCAAATCTAGAAAAGATATTCCAGCTTCCACAAATCTTCCCAGAACACAGTCTGCCATTCCTGAATCTGCACACTGACAAGGAGTCATATACAGACACCAGACACCTTCCCTTGGGCATGTATGTTACTCATAAATTGAGTCTTTGTGGCAAAGAAAAAAAAATTGTCTTTGCCACTTACTGAACAGTGGGAAAATAATAACTTATACTTTTTTTAAAGATAAAAAAATAAATACTAACAAAAAAATAGATACATAGCTGGGAGAGAAGTGGATCAACCAATACAGTTCCACAGAACATTCTAGCAACGTGTATCAGCAACCTTCAAACTATTTATATTGTTTAGTCTAGTGATAAACCTGGAGAACATCATGCTGAGCGAAATAAGCCAGTCACACAAGGATAAATACTGCGTGACTCCACTTATACGAGGAGCCTACAGGTGAAGTTCATAGAGAAAAAGTAGAATGGTGGTTGGTGATAATGGGATTGTGGAGGGAATGAGGAGTCATTAATTACTGAATAGAGTTTCAACAGAAAGATGAAAAAGCTCTGGAGGTGATGGTGGTGTTTGCATAGCATTGTGACTATACTTAATGCCACTTACTGTATACTTTAAAATGGTCACTTTTATGTTACGCATAAAAACGCTTTCAAATATTTCACAATAGTATTGTAGTGCCCAAGAGGAGGAAGATGGTGTCGAATATTTTTTTGCTTTTTCTATAAAAATCCTTATAACCTCACATAGGAAAAAAAGACCAGAAAGATATTCCAAAACACAACATCGTTTAAAGACAGTATTTCTAAGTGAGATTATGAGTGATTTTCCATTACATGCTTTTCTGCACTCTCTCAAAGTTCTAAGAGAACAGACAGTGTTTTTATAACTATAAAATTTAAAAGCTCATCCCCGCATCTCTTTCCTCTTACCCACCTTTATTATTAAAATCATGGCACTTATTACCATCTGAAAATATAATGTATTTGTACTTGCTTTCTTGCCAAAGTCTGTTCCTCAGCTAGAATTTAAGCCACATGGAGTCAGAGATTTCAAGTTTCAGGTACTTATTGGACAATTCATAAATAATTGTGTCGATGGATGGATGAAAGAAAAAAAAATCAATCATCCTCAGGTAAAGAATAGTGAGTATTTCTTTGTTCTTTGCCCCTATTTCCAGATACCTGAGGTAGCCTCAGCCTCACATTTTGAACCTGCTGGGGATTGGAAGAAGGGTTTTCTCCAGGTTTAGGATCATCAAGTTGAAAGAAAGTCTGAAATGCATTCCAAATAGGGTAGAAAATCATCTAGAAACCATTGTCACTCAAAAAGTCATTGAAAAGACTGAGAGTGTGAAAAAAGAGATTAAAAGGTGGAAAGACATGTAGCTGGCAGACAGCCAAGTGAAACCATGCATTTATTCATTTGAGCCTCTTCCATGGTCTAGGTTTGAGATAGCCACCAAGAGTAAACACATACATCTACAGCCAATTCCGTTTCATTTGATTTTAGAGGGAATCCTGAGGGTGGATGAGAAATTTAGAGAGGTAGATTTGAATACATCATAAAGAGGAGAGTCCACAATATCATTTCCTAAAGTGCATTTCATGGACCCCTAAAGATACACTGGATGTTTATTGACTTGATATGAATAAAGGGAATCTTGGACTAAAGAAATTTATAACTCTTTCCAATCTTGCTTTGAATTTAGCTTTAATGAATCTTGCCTTATATTTCTGCTTCTGACTTGCACTCTGAGAAATAATGATTCTGGTTCATCCACTAAGCTGCCTGGGATTCAATTCCTCCATCAGCTCCCTGTTCATAGAGGTGGAGACTTAAATAGGAAGTGAACAGATTTCTCCTGTCAAGGATGTCATCGGCAGGGAGAGGCCGCATTTTCTAATATTTAAAGGTCTTTCCTGCTCAGCTACTTCAGCAAGACTGAGATTCTTTAATACATATACTTTTAGTAGCTGGAAAGCCAGCTATTCCTCTGACTGTATCATCTTGTCAATTCTTACATACAATACAGATGCACCACCAAAAATTTGAGAAATATTTCACAGGATGAGATAAAAATCACTTATCCAAGGCCACTGAGCTTTGTTCTAGCTTCCAGTCATTTAAATGACAGCTCATGGTGGCTTTGAAGAAGTGCATGAAATTCCTTTGGAGAGAAATTATAACGGCTTTATACTGTAGCTCTCAGGGCCCCCAGATCTCTTGTTCTCTTACCTTGTAACTTGGGTTCTCATGCCAAAATCCAGTGACCTCATTGATTGCAGTACTTCAATACAGCCCATATACTGGAAGGAGGGGAAAAAAAGAAGAGGTAGGAGAAAGATAGCATTAAGATGTCTCTTAGTTGTATAGTGATTTCCTGATATCAAGTTACATTTGCACACTCAGCATACCATTGATATTTCTGAGTATTAATGGACAAGCTTCAGTTCTGTTATAAGACATCAGCTAAATCCAAACTATGTTGTCAGGAATGCAGCTAATAAAGATGAATGTGAGTTCAGTGGCTGGGAGCAGAGGCTCCATATGAATTTGAATTCTGACTCTGTCATTTCTCAGGAACGGAACCTCAGCAACTGCATCTCAGTTTTGTCTTTGTAAAATGGAGATTCAGTTAAAACAGTTGTGAATTAAATTATTTCCCACAGGGATTTGAAGTATAGCTCCTGACACACACATGTGAAAAATACTAGTGTAAGACACATAATACTGGAACATGGAATATATGAAGGGGATAAAATAAGCATATGTCAAATATAAGATTTGGCCGTATAAGATCTTAATATTTGCAAGATGGTGCATTAAGAAAGAAGGAAAAGGTTGGGCCCTTCCTGGTGGCACAAAACGTTGAAGCACAGTACTACGAAGCTACCCAAAAGCCACTTCAGTGCAAGTTCGATCCCCAGCCAGGGAGGTGACCCACATGATGCAGCAGACCTCTCCTGACCTGCCTGCTATGCCCTTCAGCACTGTAGTTTGTCGATCTGCCTGTTCTCCCCACTCTGTCTCTGGTGAATCCTCTCACCAGCCCTGCACCTCTGGCCTGTACACCAGTTCTGTACGAATAAATAAATAAATCTTAAAAAAAAAAAAAGGAAGGGAAAAGTCATGTCCCACATCAGGAATTAGTAAACTTAGCTTGAACACAGAGTATTAGAAAAGGAATTGTAACTTGTAAGTTGAAAGATAGTTTATAGTTCAGGTGGCAGCAGTGGGAGCTGCAGGAGAGAGGGATGGGAATCCATCAGGGTTTGGGGAGCCTAAGTCAGCAGCAATGTGAAGCTGGGTTAGTAGTGAGGAAATAGTGAGGATGCCCCCCTGGTGAGGGAAGTAACATCAGCCCCCTCCAAGAAGGGGTAGGGGCATAGGAGGGGACAGACTCAAATGGCATTACAGAAATAGATCCTACATGATTTAATCAAGAGAATGGGAGAGAAGGGTGAGTCAAGGATGACTCAGATGTTTCCAGCCAGGGTAGCAGAGAGAACAAGGACTCCATTAACAGGAACAGGAAAGTCTGGACAGGGGAAGAAGACGGTTTGGGACCCGTTGACTGGAGGACGTTGGTAGGGCATCCTGGAGACAACAAAGTGGAGGTTGAAAACTGGATATTGGAATCCCAGAGAATTAGGCCAAGAGATGCGGACTTAGTCTGCTCTTCCGAGTGAGGCTGTGGAAGTAATTCCTCTCAGCAGAATCTTCACTGGCGGGGCAGAGTGTTTCTCAGCGTGAGCTCAGAAATGTCCTGAGAGTCTGACTGAAAATGATCTGTCGGCTCATTGGAATTGATATGCATCCAGTTCAGCTTTCTTTTGGAAGCCTTCCAACTCTCTTTCTGCTTGGAAATGGCAAAAGCACTGTAGGAAGATGGCAGGAGCTGGAGGGAGGGGTGTCAGTAGAGTAGGGGTGCCTCCCCAGACTCTTCTTGCATGGGCAAATTCTATACATTTCCAAATATGAGAAAATTCTATAGATTTCCATCTAATGAGCAGGCTGGTCCAGCAAGTGTAGCCTGGCATTCAGTGTTGGGGACATGTGCTAGTTAGGACAGACCCCTGGCAATCCTCCATCTGTTCCTGTGCCCCACCCCTCAGGGGATCTCCAGTGTTGATACTAGAATTTTTTTGACCATTTCTTTTTGTCCCACTAGTACTTAATTCCCCAAGGCTTGAGTACTTCAAGGAAGTGATGGCTACAGAGTTCCATTCAATAAGCCACAAGGTTAGCTGGGATAAGGCTAAGCCAGGTTTAGGGGGCATGACAGAAAGCCCACCTCAGAATCACCATGAAAGGAGATCCCAAGGGTCCTAGCTCCATGTGCTGATGGGCTGAAAGATGTTCATATCTTTTCTCCCACTGGGTGCTCTGGCTTTCCCTGCCTTCGGTCTTCTTCTATTCAAAAACATAGCTATTGCTCCCTTTTTTCTGCACCCCTAGCCCTGGAATGGATCGAATCCCTGCACTGTTTGAGGAACAGGTCTGGGTTACCCCGCTAATTCCCCCTGTGTGTCTTGTAGGTTCAGAGGTGTGTGTCATCTTTCTCTGAGACTGTAAATTATTAATTTAAGATGAAGTGATAGCAACCGACCAATCAAGGTACACTTTTTGAAATGTGTGACCAAGCACCAGAGTGAGTTTTTTCAAAAATGCCTATCAGATCATGTACCTTTGATGCTTAAAAGCCCTGGTACTCACCAACTAAACAAACACTTCGCTTCTGTGTGTCCTGGCTCCTGCCTGCTCCTGTAACCATTCTTCCCCTATGTCCTTTGCTGCCACCTTGACTTTCTTGCTACTCCTCAGATACACCCAACCTCTTTCCCAACACAGGGCATTTGCACGTGCTGCTGCCTCTTCTCCCATTACACTGTAGGACTGACTTCTTCTCATTCCCTGATTTTAATTCAAATTTTACCACTTCAAAAGCCTCCTCTTCCCTTTATCACAACCCCTATTTATTACCTCCATGCCACTGATTGATTCTAGCATCTGCATTAGCTTGTTGATTGTCTTCATTCCCTTGGTTGTTGGTACCCTCAGAGTAAAGATCATGGTCACCACTGTATTTCCAACACTTGAGACAGTGCCAGGGACACAGAGGTACCAAATAAGTACTGGCTGGAAGAACAAACAAAGCTTCATTGTTCAGTGCCAGTGGTGTCTTTAAAATGAACAGAGGGAGTGGGCAGGGATGGAGAGAGGTGAGCCAGTCTCTCCATTCCAGGGGATAAATATGGATTATGGAAAACAGCAACTGGGATTCAGAAACCTTGAGCAGGACTCAGTAACCATGGGCCAGGACCATACCTTTGAAAGGTTTCTGAATTTCTTTGTCATTACTTCCATACTGGTTACCTCTGCTGTCCTCCATCTTGGAAAGTGGCAACAAGCAACCCAAGGGGTTTTGTAGTTAAGTGGAAACTGGGGAGAAGGTGCTCTACTTTGTAGGTCATCTAAGGAAAGGAGTGAGAGGCCCCTGAATAATAAAGTGGGGAGAGTGTCTAAGTCGGGGGAACACTCAGCCCAGTGAAGTGAGTCATCAATGATGGGATTTGGGTTTCAATGAAAGATTTTACTGGAAAGTGGGAGAAGAGGAGATCCAAAAGAGACTTCTTCAAGTTTTGCTTTTAATCACAGTTCATGGCCATAATCCCCTCATCTGCTTCCATCTAATGTAGACCCAGATATGACTTTAGGGTCCCCTATACTGAAGCCTCTGCTTTGTATCACACACCTGTCAGTGATGTCACAGCCTTCTGCCAACCTCCTGCGATGAAATGAAGATTCTGAAGAAACACACATCCTGGCCATCAGTACCACATGCACATTGCCCCTGCCACAGCAGGCATTTGTTGAGGAAACCATTGTGAACCCAGTACTGGAAAGGCGTCAATGCCTGATTTTTGCCACAATTACCCAAAAGCCCAGAATGGCATCAGTGTTCCCACTGACTTACATAGTCCATTTTACTATGGAATCAATGCTACTAGGAAGAAGAAAGAGGGCAAAGAGGAAAGATAATTCATCCACTTTGTTTAGGTATCTGAAAGAGTGGTCAAAGGGAGAGAAGTTTAGTTTGTTGATTAAGGTATAAACTCAGGATGACAATATCTCTCATTCACTGACTAACAGCAGATCTGCATAAGACATGGTCTCTGTTCTCAAGCCACCCAGCCCCACTGGATAGGACAACCATGAAAGGGATGATTTATCTTTTCTTTCTATGTGGTTAGTCATTGTTGTCAATTCCATCTAATAGATGAGGAAATTAAGGCCTATTAAAAGGAACTGTCTGGCTCAGTTTCACTTATTCAGCCAGACTGAGTCAGGGTTTATTCTAGAGTCTGCAGCTCATTTCTGCAACCCTGTGTGTAAGCTTTGTAGAGCAGGAAAAGTAAAACCAGAATGGCTCGTGTAGCTGGTGCCCACTGACCCTTCTTTCAGCCTACCGGGTAGGGGACAATGCAGGGAGCCTACGGGCCACAACAGTAGCAGCAGGCATGAATCCAAGCCATCTGGGGATTGCAAGGAGGTGCCTATGAGACAGCAGACACTCCCTAATTCCAGATCCTGTGAGGACACTGAAGACCTTTATTAGAGACATACGGGGTGGTGAGAAAGTGGCCGGGCTCAGCAATGCTCAGACAACCTTCCCATTCAGCACCTGACAGACGGCTTACCTAAATCCCAGCGTGCCCTCCCTTCATGCCCCAAGGCAGCAATAATATTTTTGTACTGTCTGAGTTTCAACCACTTACTCCCTGGGAGAGTGAACAGTCTATTCATGACTGTGTATATCTTGGACTTTGCATTCCAGAGAAGAAATTACTAAAGTTTTCAGAGAGAAAGGATGAGCATTAGCTTAGGGGAGCTTCTCATTCTGAGTCAATTGATGGCTTTGAGAATATTAACAGAGAAAAAGGATATATATTCTTATATCCTCAGAAACAATGTCTGAGGATACATAAGCAGCTAGATAGTTATGCCTTAGGGGATGGGAGTGAGGGAAACTTTTCTTCATATTTTTACACTTTTTTTTCAGTTTTATTTTTTAAATTTTATATTTATTGTTTTTACATCATTCTTCATTTTTACATTTTTTTTTATCTCAGTTGTAATCCCCGTGGACTTCCCACTACCACTTCACCCATGTGCTATCACCACAGTCCATGTGCTCTTCCCACCCCAGTTTTGACCCTGTTCCCCACTCCTCCCCCCTGCCTCTGGTTTATAGCTGTTAGTTGATGTTCATTTTTACTTTATGTGGAATCAACCCAAATGCCCA